TGGGGTTTGATAAACTGGTGGAGGTGTTAAACGAGTGGCCATCGGGAAAGATTTTCAAGGCATCCTATTACTACTCCATAGCTGGTCACATGGAATATATAAAAACTCTGGAAAGAATAATGCCCCAGTTTTACTGACTGTGCATTCAGGGGAATGTGCGCCTTTGTCGTGCATCTTACCCTGTATTCCAGTGGGTTAACCCGTCCTCTTTCTTTCTTCATCCTTCCTTCTTTCCCTCCTTCTTCCCTTCCTTCTTTCCTTCCAGGCTCGGAGATTAAGCTGAATTGCTCAGTTTTGTGTGGGACTAATGTGAAACATGACTGTAATGCCAGCTGGTACATCAATGGAATTCCTTTCAAAAACAGGGATGGTTATAGTCAAACTACCAAAATGTAAGCCTCTTTTATACTTTACACAATGTACACTTAATGTTTTGCTAATCCTTTGAGTGGATTTCAACATGTAGTTTAAGGTGCTTCTAAGGTGTTTTACAGAATAAGTTAACATGACCTCTTTAAGTGCTATTGTTTAAGAGTCACACTTAAGAGAACCTCAAAGATCTGTTGAAAATATGTTAAATAGTAACTGTTATGTATTTCCTCTCATTTGTCTGCAGTGAACCTTTCTGCTGAACTTTGTCTTTGACCCTTTGTCTTCTTTAACAAAACAAACTCTTATCTTCTTTGTTAGAGCAACTGAGGAACCTTCAAAGAATACCATTGCCACTGCAATCCTCACCATTAAAAAAGTGTCTGCTAAGGATTTTCAACAGAAGTTTAAGTGTTTTGGCGAGGGCTATTACGTAACAAAGAATGCCACTTTAACTCTTAAGCGGAAAGGTCAGTCACAGGGCCATTGATTGTTTTTTAGCCTTGCTAACAAAAATGTCTGTTGACTTTTAGCGAAGCATGGAAATGTTATTTTACACTATAATTTTGTGTTTCCTAGAATCCATAATTCCACTTGCCATTGGAGGAGTATGCATGTTATTCGTTGGTGTTTTTGTCGCTGTTTTGGTCAAATACTTTGCCATTGACTTAGCCCTGTTCTTCAGACCCTACTTCCCACTAAGCAGTAGCAATAAAGGTAAGAGAGTAAATATTTTTCTTGGGGGCTTTATTATCTTAGTTTTGTACCAACAGTAAAGGAATGAAGTACAATGCTAATTAGTCAGTTTCAGAGGATAGACCGAGCCAGTTTAGCTGCTACTTCTGCTCCCTGGCTTCAGTGCTATACTTTAAGGAAAAATGCACCAGTTTAACACATCCAAGACTTAAGAGAGGAAGATGTTGTGGTTATAGACCCTGAAATATTATGTCAAAACAAAAGTTACTTCCTAAAATATTAATCAGCTTGTTTGCTACAAAATAGTGGTATCCAGTGGTTTTCAATATGACAAATTAGAAATATAAGAAAAATGCAAGAGTAACCAAATTGAATAACAAATAAGTAAACCTGAAGTGTTTTGGTTCCTTCTGAAGGTTCAAACAACATATAAAAAATGCTGGTTCACTTTGGCTATGGTGAACAAGTAAGCCAAATGCCTTTTGGAGAAAGCTTTTGAGATGGCATGACATAGACTCTATTAATCCCACACTGTGGCAATTCACATATTACAGCAACACAGGGGTCCATAAAGTGCAGTTGGAACGATAATATATACCCAGTTTTCAGCAGCCATTTATCATGTGTGCATATTCCACAGTCTCAAAACTGGTTTTGGAAAGGTTAAACCAGGCGAATATTAAGTTTCTACATTGGCCTTCCCAAAGCCTGACCTCAACCATATTGAAAATTTGTGAGTGACGCCCAAAAGCGAGATGATATCACAAATTTAAACCTACCAGTTCTGCCAAGTAGGGAGGTCAAACATCCATCCAGAATTGAGTCAGAAACTTTTTGGGGGCTACTAAAAGCATCTGGTCAAGGGGCATCTTACCAAATATTAGTGGTAGTATTATTATCATATATTTGAGCCTGTATGCATAATCTTGACTCTGCATTTGTGGGATGAATTGAAACCTGTCCTCCCAATTGTTGTTGGGGTTTTTTTTGTATGTTTCAACTCATTAAAGATGTATGCTGTACAATTGTTCCACCCTGGAAAAAGAAAGGTTCAAAGAAGTTAAAAATTACACATTCATGTCAATGATGAGTGTTTGTAACTTCTGACCACAACTGTTCAAACACAAATGACTTATTGTGGTGACAGGGTCACTTTACATCACAATGAGCTGATAAGGAAGAAACATTAATAAAAAAACTGAGAAAACCATGTCAAAGAAAGTACACATAAATTTCCACTGATTTGTTTGTTTGTTTCCCAGACACAAGTTTATATGACGCCTATGTGGTCTACCAGACACCAATGGACAAGATCACTGAGGACACACTCTCTCAGTTTATCACACAGACTTTGCCCTCTGTCCTCGAAGATAAGTGCGGATATCGGCTCTTTATCCACGGGAGGGATGACATACCAGGGGAAGGTCAGTGTTTTATGTGCTTTAATTGTAATTTTGGACATCAACAACCAATATATTTTGTATTTGTGATTCAGGTATTTTATTGTCTGCAGTGTTCTTTGTAGCCCAGCTTAAGTGTTAAAGGGATACCAGTGTTGTGCTGCCTAATTTAAAGAGCCATCATGTACCTGTTTCTTTTGTTGTTGTTGTAGTTTTTTTCTTTTTGTTGTACCACAACAGATCGTCTGGAGTTGGTGGAGAAATGCATGAATCAGAGCAGGAGGCTCATGGTCATTCTCACACCAGATCTGGGATCAGGCTCCATGACGACAGAGCGATGGCCTGCCTCACCCCAAACCTCAGTGATGGGAGGGTTTGACTGGCAGGTGAGAACTGAAACAGGGACTGCCTGGGAGTATGCTCATTGGCCTAATGACCTGTGATTGACAAATCATTATTCAAGGACTTGTAAAGCACCCAAAGTGCTCATCCAAAGGCTTTAAAATTGGACTTCACAAACCAGTGAGTGGGGTCGAGGTAGCTATGTTCATCTTTTATGCTGTCACAATCCACACATCAGAATTCTCTGGCTCACAGAAACCTGGCAGGTTTGCATACTAAGAGACTCACATAAATACGCTTATCCAGCGTTTCCCACTTTCTCTGTCTGTCTTTCTCTGCTTTGCAGGCAACGTGAGCAGGAGCCTTTGTAGCATCTTTTTTAAATGGGGGTGGGAGTTGTGGAACCAAGAACAAGGCACACAAGGAGGTCCACAAGAAATTGTAGGGCCTTGCAATATAAAGTGCGTTGAGGCAAGTGTTGTTGTGATTTAACGCTATATAAATAAAATGCAATTTAATTTCACTGAAACTGGAATATTTAGTTAGAGATCAATTCAGTGCAGAATAATTTGCTGTAGAAAGCATTAGACATGGAGTGAGGACCCTGTCAACTGCTTGGCTTTCCTCCTCCTGGCTTTGTAGGAGGCGAACAGGGCAGGAGGCAGGTCCTGAGAGGAAGTACACTTGTTGCCACTGGATAATGGTTTAAGAGGCTTGGTGCTAACATCCTCTCTATCTTCTCCACAGTAGACAAATTTGTTTTGCTTAATTATCTTTCTTTAAAATATGACTGATTTAGCCACTTCACACTTCTTTTCAATTTCAATTAATTACATAAATTTTTGTTCCTTTTATATTTGTCTGTTTGAAATTTTGAGCTGGCTAATGACAAAAGTTTTCAGAATCCTGTGCAGCCCTGTGTCCCATTTCAGACTTATTACATGAAAAGTTGTGTTGCACAAGTATAATTTTGTGTTGGATAACTGTTTTGCAGTGTGGAAAAAAGTATTGAAAAGTTATACTTCTACTTAATTAGCTTAATGGTGCACAGGGTGTATAATCAATATAACTGCACAATATATTTTAAATACTTATAGTATATACCTATTGTGTGGAATTACACTTCAGATTCTTTTATCATTTTAAAAAATACCTACAAGTGGAATCCAAACTGTAATATTTGCATCCAAAATATAGTGGAGTAGAAGCAGAATATGGTACAGCACTTAAATAAAGTGCAAGTAAAGTAGTCAAGTAAATATAAGTTATATTCCTGTACTCTAATTTATTGGTATTGCATGATGTAAGATACTGGTACTCTAGTACAATACCGTCGGTGGGAAAAGTACAATACTTTTACAGCAAATCTAAGGAAACAAGTGCACATAGAGGGAAAAAAATCCTTGTGGAGAAATGTAGCATAACCTCCACACACTGTTACCATTACATTTTTATTCAATTACAACTTTTTGGTCCTTGCAAACTTTGTCAGATACAGAGATAAAGTGTCCATGCAAACATTTGCATCTATGCATGCATTCAGTAAGGTTCGGCCAATTAAGGATGCCTGGCTATTAGACATGTCACACAGACTGAAATATTGGAAATAAATAAACATAATGGTAAACGGGACAATGTGTGGCTGTTATACTATATTTCTCCACAAAGACACTATTTGAAGAAACAGACATTTGACATTTGGGGACCACGGCCATGTGCTACAAGTTCAATACATCCACTCCATATGGCTTTATACACGATGACCATCAACTTTATTTTGGTGTAAGTAAGCAAACAAGCAGTAATAGCAGTTACAGATAGTTGAATAGTTGGTGCACAATTGAATATTTTGAATTTCATTTTGAATTTTTCCTTTCAGTTCCATTAATTTATGGTTAGTTTTTACTAATTTAATTGTTGGTTTGAACCTTTTTATTAACATAATGTGGGTGACATGTTAAGAAGTTTAGAAAAGGCATTGCAGTTATCAGGCGTCACTTACCTTGACACTAGCAAAGGTAAGTGACCTATCATATCTTAATTTATTCATGTAAATAGGGAGGCTTCTTCACACACTAAGGTTAATTATGGAGTTACACAGGGTTCTGTACTAGGACCATTTCTATTTACATTATACATGCTTCCCTTAGGCAGCATTATTAGAAAGCATAGCATACGTTTTCCTTATTATGCAGACGATACCCAGCTTTATGTATCCATGAAGCTCGATTTTATCCATATAACTACCCCTTTTTCACTCTCTGTGTGTTCATACACTGCTCTGCATTTAATCATCAGTTCTTATTAATCTGGCTCTTGTCACACCGTGTTTTTTCTCCTATCTCCCCTAACCCCCAAATGGCTGCGCTTCCTTAATCCTGGTTCTGCTAGCAGTTTCTTCCTGCTAAAAAGAAGTTTTTCCTTCCCACTATCACAAAATCCTTGCTCATAGGAAATTTTCTGATTGTTGTGGTTTTCTCTCTATTGTCATAGGATCTTTACCTTAGAATATAAAGCGCCTTGAGGCATCTGTTGCTGTGTTAATAAGGAATAGATTGATTGTTGTGAAAACAAATGATTCTACTTATATGTGTATTATGGCATCATATTTTTATGTGTAGCACTACTAGATAGCATTTATGTAAATAAAAATACTAAGTGTACAGTGAAAGGGTGACTAAAGTGTTGTTGATGATTTACCAGGTGGGGCTCCACCATGCATTGGTCCAGAGGGAACTGAGTGTGATTTTGATCCAGCTAGGAGACACGGGGCAACAGCAATACACACACCTCCCCCCGGGCTTGCAGCACCTGATTCGTAAGAGTGCCCCTTTGAAGTGGCCAGAGGGCTCTGGAGGCGCTGCAGCATGGAACTCTCGCTTCTGGAAGAGAGTGAGATACCTGATGCCTGCCACACCTGTCAAAAAATGTGCACAGTCTACTATTATCTAATACATCTTTCAACACGTTTTGTTTAATGTTTTGTACATATATTGGGAAATGTAAGAAAAGGATGATCAGGATTTATCTTTTATAAATCCCAAGAAGCCATTTGTCATGGTCCGGAGTCTGTGAATCCGTGTTTATGTTTTGGTTTATTATTATTCTGTGGTTTTGTTTATTCTGGGTTTCTTGTACTCTCCCTTTTCACGTTTCATGTTCCTATGTTCTGTGTCCCTCAGTCTGTGTTAAGTTTGTGTGTTGTGTCATTACGTGTATGTGTTTCCTTTTTTATTGTGAAGGTCTGCGTCTTATGTGAGTGTTTTCAGTTTGCCTCCCTGGTCTCGTCACGTTAATCACTCCCAGCTGTGTCCCCCACCTGTGTGTAATGTCCCTGTGTTTCTCTGAGTGTATTTTAGTCGTGTCTTCTGTCGTAGTAGTTGCTGGTTCGTCTGTGTTGTTCCCCTCCACTTTCCTGTGCATTTTCCCCGCATCTCTGTTTCACGTCTCAAGGTTTCAGGTTTGTTTTTGCTTAGCTTTTCCCAGTTTAGTTTACTCTTAGGTTTTGGTTTTCGTCCACCTCGCCCCTGTTTGTTTCACCTTTTTGTTAATAAAGCTCACTCACAACTTAAGCAGTCTGCATCTTGGGTCCGTTAATAATTCACACACGGCTTGCCCCGGCATTACTCGAAGCTTTTCAACGCAGTCCTCTCTGGTGACATCTGGTGGCCAAAAATATGAAGAGCTTTACCCTGTGTTCACTTTTAAGAACACTGGGTAAAGAGATGGGGGGAGGGGACAATAGAATCATAAAAGGTGACTGCTGCATGCAAACCACAGAAGTCACGTAAGTCACATTGTGACTACGTTGCTGTTGCTAAATGTTTAATATTAGTGAACTTTTTCAAAACCACATATAATTTCATTAATAATGTTTATGTCAGGCTGGTGTTCATCGGCGTAACTTTGTGCTGAACATCGGGGGGTCAAGATCTCTGTCTAAATAAATAAATCTGGGTGAATTCCCAGATGATTAAACATGCAACTATTTTGTTGGTAAAACCTGAAGTGAGTAAAGAAAATTAACAAGATAATGCACGATAATAAATAATCTTATTAGGGGGGGTTATATTGGTTGGGTCTGATTATTGGGGGGGGTCATAACGCCCCTAACCCCCCTAGAAATTACGCCTCTGCTGGTGTTGCATATTCTTAGTTTGTTGGTCTTTTCTTTCTTCCAAGGTTTTATTTTCTGCTTCTATTCCATTGTCTGCTCTTCTCCTCTAGTTGAAGCTTCTGTTCTTCAGTTTGTTTAATTTTGTTCTGTAAATGTTTCAAATGTTTCTCTGGTCGAACATTTGAAGTCTGAGAAAACAACTGCTGCGAACAAACCGACTAAAAATTGCTGCTTGATCTAAGATTCTAAAGGCGTCACTCACTAAGCCAATGCGATTGTCGATTGACATTTTTGAATGGGGATATTTGTTTTAGCCGGTTTTCAAATTTAAGGTAATATTTTAGTGTTTCTTAGTTTTAGATTAGTTGGTTAGTCTAGTTTTTTGCTTAATTTAATGAATAAAAATAACTGCAAGCAAACTAGTGACAAAGATGATGATGAATAATGAAGGGAACATGAATGTCTGCACCCAATGTAACTTGCAGATTCATTGAATGGTGTTAAAAATCAGGATTTAAAACCAAAACTGACCTGGGAAGAAAGAGAAATATATTTTTGTTTTATTTTTGTTTATTTATTTTTTTTAATTTGTCTTCTTCCTTCTGGGATTTGGATACAACGAGTAAAGTATGAATATTATGCACAAAAATACACTATTACCCATTTCTTGTTTTTAAATCAAATTCAAATCAAATTCAAATTTTATTTGTCACATACACAGTCATACACAGTACGATATGCAGTGAAATGCTTACACAACTGCTC